ACACACACACACACACACACACACACACACACACACACACACACACATATATTCCACCCCAGCAACAGCATTGTGTTGTAAGTGACAAAAAGCTGACCAGGAAGAGTGCTGGTGGAGTTTAAGCAGAACTGTTAGGCCCTGAGGTAGCTGTTTGGGAAAGCCCGGACTTGCCGAAAGGGATCTGGGCTAGAGAGAAAGCGGTGCTGTCATCAGCAGAGGCTAGGTTTTGGTCCATGAGTCTGGCTTGGCCTCCAGGAAAGAGTGTAGACTAAAGCAGGCCTGAGCCCTTTAGAAGTTGGGAAGATGAGGACAAAAAGTCAATGGAGAAACTCCTTGGAGCCAAGGACAAAGCTTCAAGCAGGTAGATAGCAGTGATCACATATGACTTTTCAAGTGCCCCTTGAGACAAAGTTAGCCCCGGTGACACAGGATCAGGTGGCCACATATTTGCATAGGAGCTTGACGTATGTCTTACCCACTGATTTTTAACCCCTGGGTGTCAGTGTTCCTTTGAGAATCGTTACAAACTCTGACGCTCTTCTCGGAGAGAAGCGTCTGCACACACAAGGTACAGATAGTTTTCGGGAGTTCCCAGAGGTGCCTCAAGCCACCGGGGGTTATGAGTCTACAACCACCCCCTCCTCATCCCTTCCAAGGCCTTATGACATCAACCAAATTGCCTCAACATAGAAAGGAATGCCTTTCTTCGGGCTTCCCCTGGTATGTCTCCAAAGCCTGAAGTGAGTTAGGCTTCCTGAGCCTTCTGAGTAGATTCTAGGGTAGGTGGAATATGAATTTCAAATAGGCGGCTCAAAGCTGAAACCCATAGAGGATACGAATGGAGGACTCACCACCATCTCTTGGACCCGAAACAGCTCCGCGCCACCTGGGGACAGCCGACTGGGGAAGGAGATGCTGACCGATGATCCAGGAAGGGTGCTGGGGCCCGTGTTGTAGACCTGTGGGGTGGAGCACACGGCAAGGGTCAGCCAGACAACAGACATTCAGGTCATGTGATGTATCATGTGCTCTAAGGGGCTCTGAACCATACACAAACATTTGATGGCTTGGATCCAGGATGTGACCTTAGTTGAAATGAAATGCTACATAATGGAGCTCTAACAAATCTGAGCATGTTCTTATCCTTTTTTTTTTTTTTTTTAACAAAAATTATATTTAATTTTATATAGCTAATAGCTGGTGGAAACTTAGATGTGAGAGTTCAGGGGTTCTCACATTCCAGAATAGCATCAGAACGTTGTCCAGGTGGGATAAAATATTTTCGATTCTCCACCAGTGGGACTGGAGCCATGTGCTCTAACCACACAAAGATGGACACCTGTTTACTGAGTGTTTTGCCCACTACTATGATCAAGAGAAGGTCCCTTCCAACATCACCCAAGAGCTCTGATGGGTGCCCTGAATCAGTCAATCAAATTGTGATTGCAGAGGAAATGTTCTCTAAAGAAACCTAAAGTGCTTCCCCAGTGAACACACGGACAGCTAAGCAAAGAGGCTGTGAGCAGGGGTGCACTATGGAGGTGCCTCAGGAGACAGATGTGGCATGCTTCCTGACAGCTCTCAGCCTGCAGCCGATGGGTGCTGGACTGTTTTGACATTCAAGTCTCACTGTTTCAGGATTATATTCCATAAGGTTATAGCTGCTCTAGATGGATTCCTTTGATGAGTCTTTGTTTCTGTCCCTGCTGCTGTGGTAGGATATCCTTACAGGAACAACTTAAGTGAGGTGGCCTTTGTTTTAGTTCATGGTTCTAAGTTAGAGCAAATCATCTCAGAGAAGTTAAGGACACAGGGACACGGAAGCATCTAGTCATTACCGCATCTGCAGGCAAGAGCAGAGGGCGATGAATGAATGAATGCCAGCTAGCATTCGGCTCCTTTTCTCTCATTCAATCTAGGATCCTCTGTTTAGAGAAAGGCGCCACCCACAGTGGGAAGGTCTTCCTGCATCACTTACAAGGAAGATATTTCCCCTCAGACATCCAATGGCCAACCTAACATAGACAATCACTCACCCAGACTCAACTCCCAGGTTATTCTAACACTGAACCTCCCTGATAAACTAACCATCGCAAGTCCAGGGAAAGTACACTGAACACCAAGAAAGGGTTCGCCCTTGAAAATATTCATGATCAGTGGTGGCAAGCCAGACATCAGTGTGATGGGTATTTGTATGGAGTAATGACTTGGAGGGGTCTGGGACCCCCAGGGAGGAAGTCACTGCGAATGTGAGGGGGCTGACAGGACAGTCTAGAAGTGGAGCCTGAAGATATGGACAAATTTCTGCCATTTTATAACAAAACTTTCATGGGTGTGGAGCTGTCTCTTATGCTTTAAAGAAACTGGTTTCTAGATGGGGTATACCCTGGTCTCAGATCCTGGGAAGCTGTTAAAATGACCATGGGGGATTTAGAACATTTCACGAGCTTAGCTGAAGCTAAGGCAAGGCACTGGCAGATACCAGAGGACTGACTCCAATTATCTAAGTATTTCTACTACAAACTATTCTATCAAGAACTCTTCGTGAGGGCAGGGGTCAACTGACGCTCTAAGTGTCCCTGTCATTTGCAGGGATACCTCTCCCTTCACAACTAGCAGCCAGGCTGGTCGGCACACATCTTCACTGGGGAGACGTCTTTCCCGAGACAATACTAAAACTTGTGGCTCACATGACCACTGGTGTTTTCACCAGTAAAATACTCTTAATTAAGGTGTGTTGTTTTTTCATATATTCTGTTACCCAGTTAAGTGATATAATACAGGATAAATATAGCTTTTACATAAAAACTTGTATGACTTGTTTTGTTGGACTATTTGCTTAATTGGAGGGGTCTAGAGCCAATCCTGCACCTATTTTTAAGGTAAGTCTATATAGCCAGGGACTGACTATGTGTGTGTGTTTTAAGGTGATGGAAATATTTTAAATTTATTTTGTGGAAAAAAAAACCCTACAAACACTCCAAAAATTATCAAACTGCATACTTTAAACAAAGTTTAATAGGTGTGTCATTAAAGATTTTTTAATAAATAGATGAATGAAGCTTATAGGTTTGTTTTCTTTAGTTTTGTGTTCAGAAAGGGCCTCTCTGTGTGAACGCTCAGGCTGCCTTGGAACTCACTATGTGGACCATGCTGCCCTTGGATTCATGGTCCTTTGCCCCTGTCCCCGAAAGGCTAGGTCTGCAGACACGAACTACCATGCTGAGCTGCAATTCTAATTTGTCAATTAAAAATGTGATGAGAATGAGATGAGTGGGAGAGAGAGAGAATGAAACCCTGTCTGACAGTCTGGAAACGAGAAACAACATTCAGGGGAATCAGCCTCTCTCTGAAGCTGAGGCTAGCCAGGAGGAGCCAACAACCAATGAAGCCACCCAAACTGTGCGTTCACACACTGAAGGCGCGAGCTCTATTTGTAGCCAGCTTTTCCCTAGAAAGCCAGGCCTTTAGTTCTTTTTCACCATAGGTTCTTTTGCTTCATTGAAAGATTAAAAAAAAAAGAAAAAAGATTAAGACTGGATGAGAGGTTGTTGTCAACTCTTGATTCCCAAAGAACAACATTTGCATAGCCCTCAGATACAAGAAAAGGAAGGAGTATCTGGCCCCAACCGAAACAACTCATTTCAAGAAAAGCTCTAGAGCTGGGAATCGCAGACACCCCCGCCGTGCCTGGGAAATCCACTGAAAGAGTGGCTAGGGTAAGCACAGGAGAAAGGACTCTTTCTTGTTCACACGGCCTTGCTTCTCAGAGGCAGCCTGTGTTATCAGATTTACCTTTATCTTCCCAGAACTTGGCAGGCAGAGGCAGGAGTCACCAGTTCTAGGCTAACTTGGGTCACACAGTGAGATCTGGTCTTGGAAAAAAACCCAACAAAGCGTCCAGGTGTGGTACATGACTTTAACCCTAGCACTCATGAGGTAGAGGCAGGTGGGTCTCCACGAGTTTCAGGTTAGACAGATCTACATAATGAGATTCTGCCTAAACAAACAAACAAACAAACAAACAAACAAACAAACACCCAAAACTAATGAACTGAAGCAGCATCAGCTTGCCGTGCCGGCATCTCATGCCTGCGCTCGTGTGAAGGCTTGCGTGTGACATCTGCAATCTACTTCCTTATGCTTCTCCGGGGTAGGGGGTGGGGGAAAGCACTGTGATTCCCGATGGAAGGATCAAGCCAAATGAATCCAAGTCAAACCAATTACTATTAACAGTCAACAGACTTCTGTGTCTCCGTGGGGAAAACTACTCGCAAGGCACGTAACCCAGCCCGGACTAGAACCTTTGCCCCCCGCCTGCATCTGCAGTGGGGTCTTCTCACTCACACGTATCTTGCTGAACCACAGACCCACTAACAGAAGGCAGAAAGGCCCTTCCTCGGGGAGTCTTGTTTCTGCCTCAGGGACGGTACTGTTCAACAAGGACACACTTAGATTTCTCCACATCCCTTCCCTCTCCCCACACCAGCCCCAGTCCTGGTCAGTGTCACTACCAATCTGGGTGACCTTCTGGTTGGACAACTGTACTCACAATGGTTATGCCAGAAAAACGAGTCAGTAGAAAAGGTTCCAGGAAACACAGGCTTTGCTAACGTGGGCATGTGTGGGGTGGGGGTAGGGCTCTCCTAACCCGAAGCTCACTGACAGCTCTCAGATCCAGCCTGCTGCCTCAAACTTGGACTCATGGCTGAAGCTTCCTCAAAGCGCAGCTCACACTTAGCGCTTAAGTATTTTATCTAAGGAACATTCCAATCACTCATTTCCCAGGGCCACAGTCTCCAGCTGGTTTTCTTTGCCTCAGGTTGCATGTGAAATAAACAATGTTCTAAGACAACAAACTTTAAGTTCCCTTTCAAAATCTCTTCAGAGAACCAGCTAGAAGAATAAATTACATGTCTTAAGAATCCATTCATCTATCCATCTAACCAGCCACCCACATATCCATCTAACTATCCATCCATCATCTATCCATCCATCAATCTATCCATCCATCCACCCACCCATCATCACCCATCCATCTATCCACCCATCCACCCATCCATCCATCCATCCATCCATCCATCCATCCATCCATCCATCCATCTAACCAGCCACCCATATATCCATCTGTCTATCCACCCAACAACCATCCATCCGTCAATCTACCCATCCATCCACCACCCACCCATCATCACCCCCATCATCATCCATCCATCCATCCACCCATCCATCATCTGTCCATCTATTCATCCATTTATTCACCCTGTCTGTCTGTCCATCTCCCATCTAACCACCTACCCATCCACTGGTCCTTTCCTTCTACCCTCTAAGCAGGTACTAATATTCAGAATCTGTTATAAATCTGGTATTTTATATAGCTAGCATCCCTCTTTTCTTTTTTAGGGTGGCTTTTTATTTATTTATTTATTTATGACACTGTCTGGGTCATTTGAGACTTTCTAAGTAATTCTCTTGTCTGCATCCTGTATTTCAAGAGAAGAAAGGATATAAATCACAAAAGTAAGATAAATCTACCTGGCGTTTGTTTCCTATCCGCCGAGAGACGCAAAGGGAAACAATGAACGGGTTCCGAGAGGGGCTTTCGAAACCTGGAGGCGCAGCCACAGCTGTCGCCCTGCAGCTCGCTGAACTTTCTCTCCTACTCTCCCGTGTGAATCAAGGGAGGGCATGACAGCCAGGCTTAGCTGGCCAAGGACGCATCCTCTCTAAGCTGGAAACACATGTTATCCATCATGGTTTCAGAGTTCTCCTGGCCCAGAAGATACTCCGGGTGGAGGAAGAGTCTGTGCATCCCAACATGCTTCGGCCATCCTTTGCACCCTCCCCACAGCGTCATCTGTCATCCCTTTGCCCACTTAGGAGGTGCCACAGGCGAGGGCAAGCACTGCCATTTGCCCCCAGTAGTGACTCTCACATGAGAAGACCATCCTCTTCACGGAGGCGTGTGAGCCGGACAGGGAGAGCACTGGGAGGCAGAACTCTGGACCGGGACCACACTGCACATGCCTTCTCACAGGGATCACGTTCCCTCTACCCGACACTTACAGGACACAGAGCGGCCATCTTCTGGTTTCACATCCACCTGCTCCCATTTTGAAAAGCTGCCCTTAGAATCCATATTTTAAAAGCAAAGACCAGCAAACAGACCAAATCTGGCCTGGTGCCTAACTTTTGTCTGGTGTGCAAACTCAGAACAGTTGTCATTAAAATTCTGGGGGGAAAATCAGAGTAACTTTCTGTGGCTCGTAAAAGACCAACACATGCAAGCATGCTGCATGGCTATGGATCAGTACCTGCCTTTGTGGCCACCTTCTCCCTACAGCCCCACAGCCCAGTGGGTGCCATCGGACAGCCCACAAGCACATAAACAGTTACTTTCTGGCTGTTTCAGAAAAAGTCTGCAACCTCTAAGAGAAGGAACAATGGTCTTCTGGGTGCCTACAGACCACACACCCCGTAGACCCGTGGAGCTGATGCTTAGGAAGCTGAGTCAGCCCTGGCCCAGCGAGGGGACAGGGCACTTCCTGAGGTGCTTGGGCTCACAGAGCTTAGCTCTCAGGAAGCTGAACTCCTGAAAGGCTGTCCCCAGGAGGAGAAAACATTGACAGAGTCAGCATGAAAATCCTGGAGGAAATTAATGTGGCAAGGCCCTGAAGGGTCTCCTAAAGCTCTTAAGGTGTGTGTGTGTGTGTGTGTGTGTGTGTGTGTGTGTGTGTGTGTGTG